TATATATATATACATATATATATATATATATATATATATATATATATATATATATACAGTTTACAAATTGCTTTCCCTTGATTAATGACATGTATATTGAGATGTATGTACCGCACATTAAAATATTGAAATATATATTTATTGCACAAAGTTATTAAGGTCATGTTGCATGTGTTAGCAAGTGTGTTGTAGTGCATGTGTTAAATGGTTGAATTTCTCTTCCTCTCAGGCCGTTTTGATCTTTGAAACCGTCGCTGCACAGTTCAGCAACCCAGATGAGTGAGTGAAGAGAGATATCAGTCAGATTAAATGGAGGTGTTTTAGTTTTGACCATGTTAACCTGTGTGTGTGTGTGTGTAGCATGTCCTTCCAGGTGCTGCAGGGCTTCACCTGTTCACGAATCCAAAGCTTCAGCACTAGTAAAGTCCTGAGTCTGATCCGCGGCTGCAGACGGCGAGCCAATCAGATGCTCGTCCTGCAGGAGTCACAGGTGAGCAAGCACATCAGTCACAGGCTTTTGTTGCTTAATTTAAAAACCAATCATTGTCATTTACATTAAGATGCTCCTTCATGTTCTGCTGAACCTCATGAAACATTTATAAAAGAATAGACTTTCATAAATCTGCTCTGGTCGACATCAAACCCTTCAGCCTTATCATTTACACAAGAAAATAAACAGAATGTTTAACCTTTTCAAACATCACAGATTCATTGATAATGCTGATGTCAGTGCTGCTGTTTCCCTCCAAAACGATGTCATGTCCTGGAGGGCGATGTCATTCAGGAAATCGTAATTTTAAAGAAATTATGCAAAAGGACAGGATGGAAAGTGATACTGAGGACACAAAACTAATCATCTTGAAATATTACTAACAATATCAAAGTTATTCTGACGGTTACTTGCTAAAAATCAGTCAAGATTTGACAGCAGAAAGACACGAGAAGCTCGAGCTGAAGCTGGACGTTTGTACAATTACACTAAAAGAGCTTTGATTGGATAAAACTCTCAATCAGACGACAGAAGGTGTGGAGCAGATTGAGTGAAACAGGTTTAACAGCAAAGTTTGATTACGTTGATCATTTAAAAGCCTTCATGCATCAGATTTAATAAGCTTATTTATATCGTAAAATATAGTGAGTTTAATGGTTTATTCAGTAATAGCCACACACATGAAACACCACAGAACCACTATGTAAAGTCTCTTTTGCTCATGAAGGATGATTTCTTTGATCAAAAATACAGTAAAACAGTGAAATATTATTACATAATAAATCAGCTGTTTTCTCTGTGAATCTCTGTTAAACTGTAATGTATGTCTGTGATGCGCAGCTGTATTTTCAGCATCATTCCTCCAGTCTTCAGTGTCACATGATCTTCAGAAATCAGTATAATATGCTGATCTGCTGCTCGAGAAACATTTCTGATTATTATCAATGTTGAACACAGTCGTGCTGCACAATATTTTTGTGGAAACTGCTACATTTTATTTCTCAGGGTCCACTGATGAATAGAAAGTTCAAAAGAACAGCATTTATTTGAAATAGAAATGTTGTGTGACATTATAAAGTGACTTTACTGTCACTTTTGATCAATTTAATGCGTCCTTGATGAATAAAAGTGTTAATTACTGACCTTAGACGTTACAGTAGTGTACATTACAACATGAGTGTGTTCCTGCAGCTCAAACAGTGATGAATCCTCAAGGTCATGGGTTTGATTCCCAGTGAATGAACTGATCAAATGTCAAGCTTGAAGTCAGTGTTGGTCAGGGTTGAAGGCTCATCGTGTGTTTTTCTCTGGTCTCCTGTAGAAACAGTATGTACTGCAGGTCAAACACTGCAGGCTCAGGTGTACAGCGACATGTTTCCGTTTGCGTATGACGTGCCGCAGTTTAACGCCTGCCTGAGCGTCCAAACACTGAAGGACAACCTGGAGGCCGTGACCGATAGAGTTCACGACAGGAGCTACCAGCGGATCATTCTGGACAAACTCAACCAGGTAAAACACTCACCTGAACACTGCTGTACCTGCTGTCAATCACAGTGTTGCTATAGAGACGCATGTGTGTCCCGCCCCTCAGGCGTATCCGGGCGGACTGTCTGACCAGGTGCTGCAGGTTTTAGGCTCCACCTCCCGCGTGGCCACACCCGATGATGTCAGAAAGTGGAATGTGACGAAGATCGACACGCTCTCGTCTCTGATGAACCAACGCAAGGGAGACTGGGACCCAGAGATGGTACTGTGTGAGTGTGTGTGTGTGAGTGTGTGTGTGTGTGTCTGTGACTGTGTGTGTGTGTGTGCGTGTGTGTGTGAGTGAGAGAGTGTGTGTCTGTGTGTGTGTGTGTGTGTGTGTGTGAGAGAGAGTGTGTCTGTGACTGTGACTGTGTGTGTGAATTATTTCTGTATGTTCTCCAAACAATCCAAATGTCCAGTTTTTAAAAATATTTTTAAAACTTTTTTCTTGGTTATGTAAACGTTAAGGGAACATTCCGTTTGATC